CGCTCGAAAGAGCCGCCGGACGATTGGCGCCGGGGCTTCTTCAGGTCAGGTTGGGCTGCGGCGACGTCGCGGCCAGTGCCTGCTGGAACGTAGCCGTGTCCTATATGAAAGCCCAGCACTCCAGCGTCTTCACCACGAAGTCCTCGTGGGGCGCGAGAGGCTCGTTGCCGTATGTGCTGCACGACTGGGTTCGGCCCTGGTACAGATCGCCGTCCAGCCACAAGCCGAATTTGCCGCTGTGGGACAGAAAGGAAAATACATCATTGTGACTTTTAGCTATAAACAATGGGGTCCACTATTCCCTCCCCCATTCATAAGGGCTTTCTCCGTTCGTTCGACGGCCACTCGGGCTTATTCTTTTTTTTTCGACCAATTCAATTACTTAAATTATCCGGCAGCGGCCCAAGATCTCGTTAAGTTCTCGATCGCGTTGTCGCATATCGTCCTTTTGGCCTATCGATATGCAATCTTTAAAGGAGAAATTATTATTACTGATTGGCTAGCCTAACGTTTCATTTAAGAAAATGCAAACAACGCGTTTTTAAAGTTCGATGAAAATTCTTTCCTTCTCCGTGCCTCTCAACAATAGTTAATAATTGTTCGTCAAAAATAATGTTTACATACAAATTTTAACTTCCCATCACTAACCACTCAAACGACTCAAACGAATATGATTATTAATAAAAATATTAAGTAATATTAAATTAATGAGTATATATTACAACATACGTGGAATAGAATAAACATATGAAAGCATGATAACAATACCGGAATATTTAAAAAATATGCAACAAGCATACTCACACATTCTTTGTTAAAAATAAAAAGGATATAAAATAACAATTAAATAAAGAAAAAAATTAACAATTAATATATGTATATTAAAAAAAAAAAAAGTAGATATTGACTGACTAAACTACGTAAACATTGCACCCTGACGATATTCTGAAATAATATTCGACCTTTCAGTTATCGTACAAATTTTATTTCCATACATATCACTTATAAATTTATGCTTTTACAATTAATCTTCGGAAATATTTATTTTCATTAAGCTTATACTCTATTTTGAAGAAATACAATATGTAACAATTGACTGCTTGTTATCAAAAAAGAAAAAATTAAATATTTACTCAAAATTACTCGTTGAATGGACGATCATCTAGAATACAATGCACGTAGTAAATTAAAAAAAAAATTTAAGTAACAAAATGCAAACACAAATTCCTGATTCCTAATTGTTGCAAGAAGCATAAAGAGTAGAGGTAATAGCAAAGTACATTTACATTATTGACGATTCGTCTAATGATTCATTTATTATTCATGACTTATTAAAATATACTAAAGATGATGAATATTCTTCTTTGTACAAGCTGTTATTAAGGTTCTTATCTTATATGATTATTATTGTCATTCCACTTCAATTATTAAGTATTCATCGTTATTAGTCATTACTTCGCCGCATTTAAATTACAGTCAGGTAATTATAAAACTTTAATTGTACTATAAGATGCGAAAGTTTTAAAATTAATAATTGTAAAAGAGATTTTAAAGGAGTATTTGCATTAAAAATGTTGTTAAAAAAAATAATAATAATAATAATAATAAATCTTAGAAATCAATTTCATTGATATGTTATAGTTGTGACATTACAAGTCTTATGTGGCTTTTAACGCAATAGACTGTAAAGTTTTATTAAATAATTGTCATATATATTTGCCAAAAAATTCTAAATATTTAAGATAAAAGTCAATATAAAAGAGTATAAAAAAATAATGATTTAATATTAAAGTAATTTAAATAATTAAACAATTAAGTGAATGCTCAGTACATTATAGAGTAGGTAAAAAAATTATTTATGAATCTTGACTGAATTAATTATTTTCAAAATTCGACAATGCATTGTTACATCATGATGCAGTCACGATTTTATATTTTATTACAAATTTGACAAGTCTTTGTGACATAATACTACAAGCACTGATTGATTATAATGTAATTTATCAATTTTAATAAATTCAAATTTATTTAAAATAATTGTATTCTAAATAGACATTTAACAACAATTTAAAATTTTAAATTCAAATCTTGCATTTTAAATAACGATTAGACATTTCTAAGGTTTAATTGCACAAGGTATTTATAAACGTTTGAGTAAAATTATAATAATTAAATGCATTTCCTTTACATTGTATTGTTCTACTTTGTATTACTTAATACTTGTGTTTCCTCATACATAATTCATCGAGAATAATCTACGTAATTTTTATAATAATACGGTAAATCGAACTTACTCCCCAGCGCCAATAGCAAGGCTTTCATTATTTCCCTTAATAAAGTAAAGATTGTCGCCGGTCCAGTTGAAAGCTTGGAACCTCGGCGTGAACCTAAATAGCAGAGATTCTCCAGTACCATAGAAATGATCGCTAACTCGCAGCGAACACGAGGTTAAGGCTCCAAACACCTGTAATCATTAAATTAGCATTAATCATTTGCCCAAGGCATAAAAAAAACTAGAACAAAAATTAGCATAGACGAATGGTCGAGTATTTTATCGCAATTTACGAAGTGGCCAATCTATGCGTTTATTTTTTATAAACAATAAGTGCTAATATATTGCTAAGATTGTATATTTTCATTAACTCGGCAGATTAATGGAATTTTTTAGTTTACTTTATAATTGCTTTCGTTTAAATAGTTTTATCGTTTTTCGTTATAAAACTGACGATATTTGAAAATAATGTAATCAAGACAATAAAATCATATTATGTTACTTTAGCATTTTCAGATAATCAAATTGTTTTAAAATATTTTCAAATGCTTTCATAAATTGGAATACAGCCGGGATTATTAATATTTGTCTGTATTTTTAAAGATATTTTAATTAAAACTTATTATATATGTATAAATATATATTTATTTTTTTGTTTTCCTAGATGCATTTGCTTCTGTGTGTATACACATACACACCCGCGCGCGCACACACACACACACACACACACACACACATATATGTTTAATTAAAAGTAAATGCATTGTACACGAAAAGAAAACTATTAAAGTAGACGAAAAATAAATACACACGCTTTTGTAAAAATTTATCTCGTAGTCACGATGATCGTGAAAAAATAATAAGAATTTAAGTGAATTTGTAACATTTTAATGCCAAGAGTTGTCACGGCGTAATAATGTTATATTCATGTGTGGCGTCGAGGCAAAGCACTTAAAACTGTGTTTATTAATCAGAATGAAAATCCATTCTTATAGGAAATGGTTCGTCTTACGGTAGTTGTAAAAGAAAAAAGAAGAGAAAAAAAAGAAGCAGAATTTCTGAAAATATTCTTCAAATCGAGATTTCTTATTTTAGCGTCAACAAATCGTTAAATAGCCGACCTAAAAACTTTATTATTTATTAATTGCAGCGTCCAAGCGCGCGTATAACGAGTACTCACGTTGCCCTCCGTATCCTCGATGACCAGGAGAATAGGACTCTCGATTTTTGCCATCTTCCGGTACATACTATTGAGGCTGAAGCCGTGCTGACTCGTGCTGAAGACGAGTGTCCATAGGTAACCCTCGGCCCTTGCTGGTAGATGCCGGCACAATTGCTCCCTGTGCTCGTCGCTCAGTATCTCCGTTGTGCCCACGAGGTCCGGCACTATTATCTCCGTGTCCAAGGAAATGGCGCTATTAGCGTACAATGCTCGCCTAAGCTCCTCGCTCATGGACAGTACCTGCAAATGTCGGAAGGACTATACTTATTTATCGGAGCTAGCTAGGACGAACTCGTCTCACCCGTCCGTCATCCTTTACAATCACTCGTCGAGATTCGGGAGCTTTCCGCGGTCTCGCGTCGCCCGACCCTCCCTATAACACCCATTACGTCCGTCTATTCGGCCAAACAAACGCGAAATAATAATCATTATGAAAAGGACGGTCGGTAGAGCCGAGGACGAGATTAATTTTGAAATTCATAATAATATGACTCATCGACCCGTAGATAATTACATTTTTAGCAAGACGCAGTTGCCCGTTGGGAGTTAGTTTATTAATTACGATCCTTTCATTCATTATTTGCTCCAAGCTTAACACTCACCATTATATTATATTCCCAAATCTCGACAAGCGCTTTTCAAGGACATTAATTTTTACTGCTAAATTTTCTAAAGATTCGTTAAACATTTACGTTAGCTTACAATGAGTGAAGCACTATCTGCCTTGTATAATCAACTCTTCGCAACTAAAGAACAATTTCATTTATCTTTTACTTGACATAGGAAATTAATTGACGCAAGCCGAATTGTAAACGAACCATGAAAATATTACCATAAAAAAACAGCTAATTAATCCATCGCGACATATTTCCTCGGCTTGTGATTATTGCTGCAGAATCATTGCTATCGAGATCAATAATAAGCTTCAAATTGGACAGGCTATGCTGATTTAAACTAGGTTTTAGGCTCTTATGCTTTTCACTCATCGTAATGGCTAACCTACACGTTCGCGTTTTAGTGCATTTTAATTTATTTCTACAGGACATTGCTCAAGGGTTTCAGTGTTCACTAAGGAAATTTAATAAGTGATTGCTCTCCAAGTCACTAAATGGCGACTAATCTCTAAAAAAAACTAGGCACGACTAGATGATACATAAGTTGTTTGAACACTACGAGTGTTGTCTTGTGTTCTTGCATTGTATGTGGTTGCCGTGTTGTTAGTCATTGAAAAAGGATAAGATAACAACAACAACAACAACAACAAATAAAAAACAAACCATGTATAAAGAAGTAAAAAATATAATTATTGTATTATCATGTGTATTTCAGAATGAGTACTGAGCTCAGCACTAATCGCAGCCTTTTTTAATTCTCATTAGAGGTGATTGACATTAAGCGTACATAATTAACACATATAGAGTGCAATAGAGCGCGAATAATTTGTAAATATTTTTCCCTCCTTCACGAGTTCCAAATATAAAAGTAAATAAAAATTGAGTTAGACTTTTTGAATTCAAAACAAAATCATTAGCCGAACGGGAGGGGAAGCATGAATCGTTGGTTTGTCGCACACGTTGGCACATTGGCAGCCGTTCCATATGAAAAATAATGTTTCTTCGCGCAGTATAAAAAGTGCAGTGGGGACAAAATGTAAACACGACTTTGCCTTCTCCTCATCTTCCGATTATAGGAATTTTGTATATATATATATATATATATATATATAAACTAACAATGACGGCGCAATACTCTCGCGTTTAAAAATAAACCGCCTGCCTTACCATAATAAAAATACACGGGCGCGTGCTGTTGGACATACTTGGAGGAAATACAAGTGCAAGATATGGTGGGCGAGAGGCTACTTTATTTCGAGCTCGAGAGCTCGTTTTCAATGAATGGAGAATTTCTTTTCCTCCTTTTGCACGTATATGAACTTAATTATTCCTTGGAACATACAATCCATATGGTTTTTCACTTTTTGTTAAGAGACTAGGAACACTTGACATCGCATAAATATAAAATAACGGATCGTCAAAGACCTTTTCATTTTTCTCGTCTTTTTTTTTATTTTCCACGTCGTTTTACTTCTTTACCAAATCACAGGCGAGTTTTAACAAAGTCCACGCATTTCCACTTGTTCTAATTTCCCGTGAATTGTATTAAAACGCCCAAGGCTAATTAATTATATCAATTCTCCTTTTCATTCGTTTATTTTCTACTTTCTTTTCTTTTTCTTTCTTTTTTTTCTATCATATTCATTTGTAATAACAACGAATAAATGGATATTTTTCGAAAAGGTAAGATGTCAAGTAGGATAAAGACTTCGTTTACATAAATAAATCTACTCATCATCTGATAACGAATTTCTCTCATTGAACAACGATAAATTTCTCAAATATGTTCTAAATATTATAAACATTATTAATTACCTTTAGCAGTAAATTAAATTTCAAATGCGCTGTCAAAGTGAAGAATTATAGCGAATATTGAAACAGACAAATTTTGCAGCTTACGCGACGACAATCCGCTAAAAATTTGCAGATTATTAAGTCGACAATCAGCACTTTAAAATCTAACGCGATAATTCTTGCTTGATGCAAACTTTTACCACTTTGCAACTTTATCACCACCAAATTTCACTAAAAATTATATATATATATATATATATATGTAGAAGTCGATACGATGGTCGAATAAAATTTTTTATGCAAAATACCATGCAGTGCTGAAAAAATTTGCTAAATACGTATAACTTGCGCAAGCAGATAGATCTTAGAATTTAAGATTTCAGAATACTTTTTTAAGATAATTTTTGGTCTTAAATTATGTTAATACCACCTACCTCTTAACAATTTTAAAGTAATATTGCTTTCATTGCAAGTCACAACATTCTTACTTCGTAAAAAATATATAAATATATCATAAGATATTTCAACGACTGTTTACAATAACTCAACAAGTCAAAATAAAGTATTTCAGTATATTGAAATTTAAGGCTATTTAAACATGCCGATATAATAAAAAGAATTTTCAACATTTAAATAGATTGATCACTGTCAGTTTATTACAATACCTTATATTTTAGTGAAAGACATTATATGTTAGAAAAATATATTGTTTTAGTACGTAATAAAAGATAAAATGTACATCATGTATATATATATATATATATATATATATATATATATATATATATCAATTGTAATTATTATATAAGGAAAGTCTTTAAACTCGTGAGAAAAAAAAAAACTTGAAAAAGCGAGCATTTTGAAAGTTGGCATTGGCTCCATTTTAAAAAGAAAATTGATATATTTCATTTATAATAGAATTTGAAGCCCCCCCCCTCTCGTAATACGACATTATCGTAGAAGAAACTTTTATAAAAAACAATAATGACGAGGAAGACAGAACCATGTTAAGAAAAAAATCCATTATGATGATCGAAATCAATATCGAGAGCACCGGTATAACGCATTTTCACAACATACATGCAACTAAATTGGACTACTACCAGCAATCGATAACATCATCTCGGCCATATCTAAGAGAGAAAAGATGATTAGAGAGTAATATGTGGCTGCGATGGCGATCAAACCCTGAGAGTATAGTAATGCCACCAAATCGACCTTGACGCGCATTTTATAGCGCAGCCACTTCCGGTGTCATCGCCGTTGAGCGCATGTAATTAGCACGCAATTCACTGGTAAATTTGAGTGATAAATATGAGAAAAATGTGGGCACCGCTCTCTGTGTGTGTGTGTGTGTGTGTGTGTGTGTGTGTGAGATATGATATGATAGATAACGAAAGTGATCTGTAATTTCGTTTCTATGCCATTCGCCTAGGCGTACATTCTTCACGCAAACATATTTGACAGTTGGGAATTTCAATGTTGAAGCTTAATGACAAACGAGTAGAGTACTTATCGTACACTTGGAATCATGCAATACTTGAATAAACAGGCTCGCTTTGTCAATTTTATCCTTATTAATATAAAATTTCCATCGATGAAGCAATCTGATAATCATGTACTTCCTTAAAGTTTGTACGATTCTACGAATCCATATTGGCAAATAGCGTTTACGTTCAATCGCCGTTTATTATTGCCAGTAGCGATAATGTGATCGCAACAATCATTGGTCCTTTATCACAATACCACGGTCGAGGTGTGCATAAAACCACGCCGATAACAACTACCAGACATCCGAATAAAAATACGGGCATTATTGGCACTATCGGTCCCATCTTCGCCAATCCGTCTTTGCACAATGGACGAAAATACAATGAGGCTTTGCGAAATTGAGACGCAAGACGGATGCGTCACGCTCGTCGATAATGAAGGGATCGGTACACGGAGCTTAGCCATCCGACGGCCCGATTTACGAGTTAGTCTTTGACTAGACGAGTCAGGTACATCGATGACCAATCGATCGAGATTTTCTCGGTTGTCGAGGCCTCGTTATCCCAAACTCACGACCTAATCATTCATTAGTCACTCAACTTGCCATTTATCTAAGATTTTTAATTCAGTAGGTTGGCATTCGTTTTCTTACGCAATTATCTACGAGCATTAAATAGTGGAAAATATAATTCGTGCTATATAATCGAATACACTGGACCAGTGTAGAAGTGTGGGCGCTGCTAAACTACTCAAATGCATAACTGCATTGAGATTATTCGAATATGCATTGCCCTTGGGTGAATCTAATTTTTATAAAGTGGAAAATTCACTCTATTCAGTTTCCACGATCGTTGAATTCGCATTGAACGATCACGCGCGTGAAACAAAATCGGCAAATGATCGGATTTGGCGCGTTCGAGCCAGTGCCAAAAACAGAGAAACGATATGCAAAAGAAGAAAGAAAGAAAAAAGAAAAAGATCGTATATACGTATCGTTTCGAATCGTGGAAATCTCTCCGTTACTACCACCACCACCCCCTCCCCCTCCCGCCCCACTCCCTTGTCCGCAAATAGACGAGGCTAGAAATGGCGAATGAGCTCGTAATATCGGAAATCGGACAAGTGGATTAGTATTCGCCTCGGCGGCCTTCACGAAATGCTTCGGAGATGCGCCAAAAGCGAAGCATCGACGAGGCGCCGTTACGCCGGATCATCCGGATTATGCACCTAAGCGCGTAGGAGAAGTCCGTAGATTATGGAGTCCGTGTGTCTAGACGCTCGGACGCCTTGGGTGAATTATATCGTAAGAGCGTCTTCTCTCTCATTGTGCACACTACAAAGGCAAATATCGTTTGTTATTGACTGAGACAGGATCATGAACTAGTACCAGTTCACCACGCCTTTGTCACTTCGTTGTTCTGAGACTGTTTTTGCTTTGTTTTAACTCAGCGATTCTTGTAAATTTAATGTGAAGAAGGCAGAGGAGGAATAGGGCACAAACTATTTCTTATGTTTTCGACTTTTGTCGTTGTTGTTGTCGTTGTTGGTGTTGTTGTTGTCGTGCTTCCAAGTAAGATACCTTTAGAATTTGGCACCATTATTAATATTAATTAAATGCATCAATATTCATCGATAAAGTTAATACTTATTAGTTAGCCATACGGTTAATAAAAGGTAATTAATTGATCAATGGGTTTGTAATGCGGCTGGATGGCTTCGACATTTTTAACAATATCAAATATTTCAGATAATAATTTATGAAAATGACGATGAATTAATTATTCGTTGATATAGTTTCACGCCCTTGTAGTTCGATCTTTGAGCGGCGAGGAATCGATTTTCTTCTTATTTAGAAGGTAGGTGAATTACATAGTACATAGAATGTAGATTTGTTGGGACAAATCGCCTTATACTAATTGATGTCTATTTACGGCCGACGTACCTCGTTAATCGCATGGAATAGTCGTCAGAAATTACTATGCGAATAAACAGGAGTGGAGTTTCATTTGATTTGACGAATGTCGAATAACCTGGCCATATTGACTGGACGACGAATAAATAACACGGAGCCTTAGGGATTTGAATGGATGTTAAGAATTTTAATGCCAATTATTGCTGTTTTAAGGAACGTTAACTTATGATTTTCATTTTATTGGTAAATAGCTCGTCATTAAATCCTAATTTGCTGACAATATCCTTGTAATGTCTTATAACTTTTTAAAGCAATTATCAACGTTATTATGCACACGAGCGATTGACTATTCGTGAAAAATTCTAAATATTTTCTTAATCGTGATTAATTTTCACTCTCCTCTTTTCACGTAGAAAGCCATTGAAGCGCCTAATGACAGCTAATAGCGTATAAGGCTTAAACATCGTATGTATTTTGAATCGGAATTGACTTGAACTTGATAAAAATATTATGTATTTTTAGAAATAACGTTGTTGCAGGGCTACTTGGCCAAAAAGGATGACGAACACTTTTCTATATTTTCTTTGTATTGAAACTTTGTGTATTCCAACGATGACGCAGGACTGGGATTTATTTTTCTGATCATTATTGCCGCGGATGAAAGATACATTTGGTTAACTCGGGAGATAATTTTGCGTCTTCGCAGGTTGAGAAAAACAACGAGGGGATAAAGGTTTTGTTTATTTTTAGCGGCAGTAAGTCAAGTTTGGAGGCACGTGTTTCTCACTTGAAAATAGCCGAGCTGCTCATGCCAAGAATTCATTAAATCCCTGAAGCTACTCCTCTACAATTTTCAATTTACGAGCTGATTCGAATACTATGTAATATAAAATTACGAAATATTATCTCTATGCTTTAAATTAATTATTCGTTAAAAAAAAAAAAAAAAAAAAAAAAAAAAAAAAAAATAATAAAAATTAATAAAAAAAATAATAGCGAATGCAATACAAGATAAGACGAGTATCCGCAACAGAGGAGGAATATTCCTTTCTTCGTAAGATAATGCATGTTATTTATGAATCATAAATTCAATGTTTTTATTTGGATTCCCAACGAAACAGCACAAGATACTTGCAAATACATCAATAGTTTATAAGACCATTTGATTTTATATCATCTAGGCTTTTCGTTTCAATATCAGCACACAAAGTATTATACAGTCGCGGTCAAAGAGAAAAAACGAAAAACAATTTCGTGATACATTAACTAATTCGAATTACGATTTCGTCTAATATTTCCTAGTTAAATGATGCAAATTGGAAACAACGATGAAAATATAAGGATTTTGATCTTCGAAAAAAAAAACAAAAAAAAAAAAAATCACTTGTCTAATCATTATTATTATTGGATTCACAACAATCTTAATACATCGCATTAGATTCAATAATAATAATCAATTCAATAATAATATATTCTTCGAGCACGTAATTTGGCCGAAATGTAACGAAGACAAAACTACGTTCCACATTGGGACAGATCGTCAAGATTAAATCCAAATGCTTGTGGTGGCGATTTAATTAATCGTTTACATCGCCTTTTAAAATACACTTTAATACTCATTAATTTATATGCATTTTATTCAAGGATATCGATAAGGCATTATACTTTATATAAATATGTTACCGAGTTGGAATGGTCCTACATGTGTTTATTAACTGATTATTTATTATGGATACTACAAAGCCAAGTAAGTGAAGTTGGTAAAAATATTTAATTAGTAGCGATAATTTTCAAATATTATGAAAATTTTCTTCATGACAAATAATCACGACAATGCTATGTAATCATAAAATAATCTCAATACTTTTAATGCCAGATAAGTAGACTTTTAAAGTGATAGAAAAACTATTTGGATATAGTAAATTCGAAATGTCATAACAATTACATTGTAACAATTATCAAAGTTATATCTCTTTTATTTATTTTTTTTTTCTCTTGTTTTTCAATTCATTCTTATTACATTCGCGTTAAGCAGAATTATATGTAAGCAAATTTGGAATTTATTGTGAGATGAGCGATGAAGTGTGTTAAGTAAAGCAAGAGGATGTGTAACGAAGCGTGCAATCAATTGTTGTAACGAGCTGTTAACAACAGTCAATGTCCGCGACATCGCACATAAAAAGTTACGCCTCGCGAAATTCATAACTACAATTTATAAAAGTCATTCATCTCGTCTTTTTTTTTTTTGCATTTTTTTTCCATTGTTTTATTTATCTTTTCATTTTGGAAAATTTGGAAAATTACAGTCGGCACAGAGATTATAATTACTTTGAGTAAATCGCATTAGATATGTATAGTAATGTATTAAGCGATTACTAAATACGCCAATTTCCATTTTATTATAAATTATGAACAATTATTAAATTGAAGTGAATAAATAAATATAGGGCTTATAAGCGGAGTACCTGAATAATAATTAAAAAAAAATGTTCTCTTGTTTATTAATTCAAGCTGAAACTAATTGGGAATAATAAAGATAAGCTTTCCAATTAGGGCAATCGATATAAAAATATGTGATACAAGGCGAAAGGTCAAATGCTATGGTATTTTAACGCAAAAAAATAATTTACCTCCATGCTTAATAAAATGAAATTTGAACGAAGATGCGTCATAAATTTGAACGGAAACTGTCGACTTTTTAGCGACTCGCGATTAAGAGCGTATCGGTACTTTTTATCAAGAACTTTCAATCGTATATTTGAATGTATCTTTACGTAACTTTATGAGTTACTAAATGATTGATTGAGACGATAGGCTGTCTATGAATTTTCAAACCAATAATGCGATCAGGAACAATGCATCATGAACGAAAGAGAGAAAAAAAATGAAAAATAAAACTATAACGATAATGCTATGAAAGCAAGAATATAACATCTCGAAATTATAGTTAACCCACTAAAAACATTATCATTTATCATCGTTATTAATCAATGATCAACAGCCTATTAGATATCAACTAATTGTACTTTCAAGAGTATAATAAGACGCTTGAGCTTTTTTACCGATAATAACATTGACGAATGTTGAAAAACGTAGTTCAAAGTACTGGCTTCGGTAGTCGTCATTTTTTCCTTTATTCCTTTTATTAAGACCGAGAAGAGTCGTCCGCTAAATGCGATGCGCAAGGCGCAACTTAACGTTGCGATCAACGGACAAAAAGCCAATCAATGACAAACTCGAGACTCCTCCTCGTAGGCGAGATTTCGCGACGTTTCTCCGCTTCGTCGGAGCTGAAAAGTCCGAGGCGTTAAGCGAAAATGTGTGCTTGTCGAGGCGGGCACTAGGAAACTGAAGTCTGCGCCTCTCGAGCCTCCGACTATATTCGTCCAATGGCCTTACATTAAAAGACAAGGAAGAGGAATATGCTCGTCCATTGCAGGAGGGCAGAGGAAGACCTTTCCTTTTCTATCCACCTACGTGTAATGTTATAAAATGTCTTGTGAAACGGCCGTTTTACCCAAGATCAAGAAACTTTCGCGACCTCGTGGATGATGCCAGATCGTTTTCAGCACCTCGAATACGCTTCGCCGGCATTTTTCTCTTTTGCCTTATTTACCCTTCTCAAGCCATTCAACGGACAGTCGCGAGACTCTTTTATTTGCGATATTAAAGAGTTTCCAGATTTAGACATATGCCAATAGCCGCTTCACGTTTTATGGATTTTTTTCCACTCGTAATACACGCGAACGAGAATGCGGATATCAAGGGGCAGGAATAATCGGTCGAGCATAAGAAATTGACAAGTTTATTTCTGCTTATTTCTTACGATATCCCGTTTCATGTACAATGGCCTGTAAGTGTATCTCTATCCAGGACAATTTAAGTACAAGTTTTCGTTTATTGCATAAAAAAATGATGTGGCATTTTATGTATTTGTAAATGACTCGAAGATTGTGTAGGATTAAATTATCTGCGTTTTTTTTGTTTTTTTTGTTTTTTTTTGTTTTTTTTTTTTTTTTTTTTTTGTTTTGTTTCATACGATTCATTTATTGCCATACTCTTGTAAATATCTTTAGTAAAAGCATTACAAATTTACTTCATCCTGCTATTTCGCTCTCTCATTTAATAATAATTTTTTTTTTCCATAAAAATATTAAATTCCAGCATTATTACTGAGAGGATATACGGCTAAAAATAAAATAGCGTTTGAAGAATTTAATAACGTTATTGTCAAAAATATTACGAAAAATCATTGTGTATTTTAATAAAAAATATCCTTATATAGTCGGATGTTAATTGTAACAAAAATTGAAAATTTAATTTTAATTAGGCATTTCGTACTTACTTTAAAAAATAGCGACACATAGTTTTGATAAAATGATAATATTGTTATAAGTGTATTTTGATAAATTTAATTATTCAATATTAAAGAAAATTTGTTTTATCCAAGCCGCTCTATACAAATGACAAAGCGAAGATAAATTTATGCATAAACACATTGCTAATGAAAACTGAAGAAAGATTTTTTATAAATGAAAAAGTAGAGAATTTCTTATAGATGAAAGAATTTGAGCAAACACAGTTCAAAGAAACGCTAAAAGTCTTTTTGAACTCTTAAAATCTATTATTTATTTTTTTTTCGTGCTTTTAATGAAGAAGTTTTCATCATCGTAGCAACGGGGGCAATTCACTCTAATGACAACAATGTGTGCTTCTTAAGTAGTTCGTTCAGCCATCCATAATTACTTTTAATCTGGGAAAAATAAGCATTTAAAAAAGCAGGTACTTATAGAAAAAATGCAAAATTTATTAAATACTTAAATATCAACAATTGACAATGCTGCGAGTTAAAGTATCGCTACTTTAATTATTTAATGTTTAATGTCAATTAATGAACCCTTACATTATTTTTATTTTTTATTTGTATTTATCAATGCATTTAAAAAGGAATATCTTATAAAATGCAAGTCAATCGATAAGCTCTTTAAGTATATATATATATATATATATATATATATATATATATATATATTTAAATAATTTCGATTAATATGTTCGAATTAATATATATATATATATATAATTATTTAGCAAAATGTTTTTCTGTGTATATGTATCGTTAAATTACTGGCAAAATTTTTTGTCAAACCATTAAATAAATTAATTTAAATAAAAATATAATAATGACGCGTAGGTGTAATTTTAATTAAATTAGGATAGCAAAAGTAGTAAAAGCGTTCGTTACAAAAAGAAAAAAAAAAAAAAAAACGTGTTTACACAATTGCAGTAGAATAATACAAACTCGAACTCATTTCTTAGCATACAGCAGCAGCTTAACTATCACGCAAACCTCGAGAACAAAAAAGGAGAACGAGAGCATTTAAAAAGCTTCAAGGGGATCAGGAAAGGATTACAATGTAAATGCAGCGCACCCGAACAGCAATTTTGCCTCGCAAGTATATAAAACCATTTGCATTAACGAATAACTACCGTCACTCCAGCAACATTTCTAGTATAATATAAAAGAAGAAACATTCCTTCCTGATTGCAGGCAATTTATATGAATGATGAGTCGCATAAAATACTTTGCTGCAACAGGTAATAAACTACGCGTAGTACTTTAACTGCACCCTATAAGTTATCCTTCCAACATGGTAATTGAAACGAGTCCTTGATCCTTGAAATTTTGACGACATCTGAGGCTACGTATTTCAATAAACGCACTCTCTTCCAATCCTATTATTACCATTGCTTTGTATACTCTGATTAATTGTCTTTACAAAAATTAAATTACTATTACCTATTCATTATGCCAATGCTTTATTGCGTAGAAAGATTTCTCTTTTTAATCTATTATAT